GATGGGATGAAACATTTCTTACAAGGGTCTTGAAACCTCTCTCTAGTAGACACGATTTAAGGTTTAAGAGCGTGAAGCTGACAGTGATATGTAACGTACGAAAGTAGACAATAAATACTAGTGGTGGGCTTGGACTATAATAAATGATTGGTTGGAATAACTTAATTGGTTAGAGCATATGGTGACTTATCGACTCAAAAATTTGTTATAGAGCTCAGGTTGCACAATTCACACTGTTCCTTCCATTTTTTACCTGGACGTTCTAATAGGAAACAACTCTTGGCGATACTTGGAGCAACTTCGAGGGACAAAATTCAAACGTACTCGATTTTAGGAAGAACTCTGGCGAAGACTTGTCTTATGTATAATGACACATGCCTAGTGGCCATTGCATGTGTCATTTATGTTTTATATTATATGATGATGTGATTATGTTATATCTTGGTGTGATGATTTTATATGATGATGTGATGATGTAAATGATATGAGGACATGATGATTATGCATGATAACACAACGTATGAAAATCAATACATGCATGTTACCTAGGATAATGTGTGAATGATGTATAGGGTTGTGTCTTAAGAATGATTTAAAGTTGAAAATTATAGGAAAACTATCGGGACCTCATGCATATTGTGTTCATATAGCATGAGGTTACTTTCCCATTTATGATGATGAGTACGAACGCGTACACTATGATGATGATCATCATCATGTCTCGCATGATACTCGGGGGCTTGTTGACCACCGGACATCCAGCTACGGACAACTAGCCGAACTATGATGGGTCTAGGAGGTGCAAACCGCCTGGGGACTCACGCTCGCACGTGTGTGTCGTGTGTAGGGAAGTACTACACATCCAATTTTGTCTAAACAATTTGATCCTGAGCAATTTCGGTTTAGGGCGTTCACTCACTGTTCTTTATGTTTTTCTTTCAAATATTCTCCACTCATACTTGGTACATATAGAAATCCAAGCGATCTTACACGTATTTCTTAAGAAAAGTTCAAGGTGTTTACTAATCTCGTCTTCGACATTTGGGATCTCCGTTCTCAAGCTTTTGGTATCCGAATTATTCCAAATTTTCTTTATTAGATTCATCTTTGAGTTTAGTTTTAAAAACCATAAAAAATTTCATGAAAACCGGTCTAGAAGAGGTTCAAATTGATCAAAAAGTGTAAAAGATCAACATATGGCTACCTTTAACTATTATTGGTCAAAGTTTGACCTTTTAACTTTAGGCACCATTTTTTTTCCTTGGTTGCTTGAAAATCAAGTTTTTTCTTATCATATCCCTCTGGTTTTGCCCTTGTACAGCTCTATATAAACTTCAAATGGACTCGATTCCTCACAAAACGTTTAAATGAAGTTTCAAAGGAGAGATAGAGGCCAACTCCATACTGTTTTGTGGTTTGTAACTCGAGTTATAACTTTCCAAAATTCGTCAAAAAAACATGTTCCTCAACGAAATAACTCAGAAAAATTTTTGTTCATCAGCCGATTCTAAAGCTTTTCAGAACCCGATTTCTTCACGAAACTTGATGGAAATCCCATATAAAACGTGTAGGAGTTGATAGGAAGGAAAATGACTAACCGTAGACCTCAAATTTAGAAGAAAATCGAGGAAGAAAAAGCCATAATCTAAAATCTTCAAACTCGAGTTTTAGGAATTTTCATCACTCGATTATTGTCTTAAACCATTGTTCTAAAATTGTCGTGAATTTTCTCCATTTTTATTTTACACTCTCTCGACTTTAGGTAAAAAATATCTACTCCAATGAGGGTGCTACCAACATCAGTTTGAAATTCCAACAGTTGGATCTAAAGAACATCACGTCTTCTTAACTGTTCTAGAATCCAAATTTGCTTGCAGATTTTCTTCGAATAACAGTTTCATACTTAAAAGTGAATTACAAAAGGGCATTTTGGTAATTTTTTAATATTTTATTATTATTTTTCTCATAACTCTAAATATTTTCTAAAATTCTTCATTCTTTTTCTGGTTATTTTTCTCCTCTTCGTAATCTTGAATTCCTTCTGGATAAGGAATTATAAATCCATTCGCTTACTTTTTCTTTTTCAATTCTTTTCCAAAGGCCTTTTAACTCCTTTAATTATTTGTTGGGGCTGTAAAATAACTTGCTGAAGACACTTTTACTTGTTTAAACCCCTTAATACTTTTTCTGGGATCTTTTGAGTCTTACAATTGAAGCCCAAAAGAAAAACACTTGTTGAAGGAGTAGGAAAGGAAATAGAGAAGTTGGGGCGAGGAAGGAGGGGAGAAAGAGATAAGAAGAAGAAGAAAATAGTGCGAGTAAACGTTGGCATAGTTTCTATTAGGTCGCTCTTCTTTTACTCATTGATACGATAGACCATGGAACGTAAAAATATCTCTAAACGTACAAACGTTTTGACGCTTGTCAATTTCCTAAGCAAAAATTGGTAAATCAAGGTTGAAACTAAAAACGAAACTAGATTTGAGAACCAAAAAAAAAAAAAAC